AAGACCTAGCAACCAAAACATGTTTACATACCCACTGCAAGCTCACTAGTTTTGATTATATGGTGAGTATAGTAAGATCTTCTAATCTATTTTAGGTATCCACTCCCCTCATCTGCCTTTATCACAGCATTTTTCTAATTTCTATACAGAAGCAGTGGAGGGGAAGGGAAAACGAGCAAGAAAGGAAGTAAAGCGAGAGGCTGGTCACAACCACATAGGAAAAGAAGAGCCAACTGACAACTCATATAAGGAAGTCATGGACTTCTCCCTTTAGCAAAAACATGTGTGTGACTGGCTTCATCTCAGTTGTTCCAAGTCTGCTTTTCAGAGCTATTTGCATTGTTCTGCTTTCTCCTTTTCCCTCTTCTCCTGGGCTCACATGCTCTTTAATGCAGTGTTTCCAAATGCTGGGTCACTGAAGAGCATAAATGGAGTTCTGAATTGCAAATAAAACCAGCTTGTGGCTGTCTGCCCAGGGTCATATTTGCACAAATGCATGGATAAAGAAAGTTTTAAGCTGTTTGGTCTTGAAGTGTGTGTGAGAGAGAGAATAAATGGTGGGCAGAGGCCACCTGCAGCTAAGGGCCCGCCCTAGGTTGACCAGACATCCCGATATTAGGGGCTGTGTCTTATATATGCAACTATACCACCACCCCGGGGGGAAAGGGGGAAATGTTCCAATTTTTCCACCCTTGCTATCTTGTCACCCTAACTTACAGTCTCAGTTGAGGAATGGGTCACAGGACGAAAGATCAACTGATTCCATGGGACAAAAAAAACCAAACAAAAACAAACCAACAACCACCCAGGAATGGGAGCATGATTCTAAGATTTAAAACAAGGGAAAAGAATGGGACACGTGAACAGAGAACTCCAGGCAGCACCTACCGCCCTGCAAAGGAGTTCAAGGAGTCCGAGGACACTACCCAAAGGAACTCCGCCCAGCTATGCAAGAGAGTCACATATAGGGGCCCCTCAGTCACGGAGGCTCCCTCAAGCTTCCCCCTTCTGGTCTGACAGAGAGAGTGTTTTGGACAATGTTCAAAGGGAGCTGAGGAGGCAAACTCATGGCTTTTGGGGATCACAGATGGGGGGGGTGTACACAGGAAAAGATGGGGGGGTAAAGTGCAGCTGGGGGCTCTGAAGAAGCCAGGAAAAGAGGCTGTAAGCTGGCACACTGCAGGTAAGTGCACCAGGGTCTCGGACAGGTGCCTGATTGACAGCCCTGCAGACTGATGTTTAGAAAGTCGGCACTGCAGCAAGAAAAGCTTCATCTTCCAATGTCCCTCACCCCTGACCTGAAGGGACAGTCCTCCAGAGTGGAGAGAAGAGCCCCTCTCCTACATTCATCCATCCAATCCTTGGCCTCTGCTGCAACTGGCAATAACGGGACAATCACGGTCATACTGTGATGGTAACTTCTATAACCTTTCTATTGGGAGCTGGACTGAGGCTTATTTCATACAGGATATTGAATGTAGTTATTAGCTTCAATATTTTGAGTCGCAAGTTCTTTGGGGGCAGGAATTGTCTCTATTTCCTTGGGAAAGGTCTAGTTAGTACAATGCTGTAAGCAATATCATATTAATAGAATCTTGGACCCATGTTTTCAAACTTAAAGTTGGGCATCAAAATTAAAAGTACAGTAGCCTGATTTTCAAAAGGTGCTTTCCCCCACAGCTCCCACTGATTATATCAGGAGTTGTAGGTGCTCAGGATCTTTGAAAGGTTGGGCCATTTACCTAGCTGCCTACACAAAGATCTATATTTAGCTAACTACATTTGGAAACAGTGGTCCCAATTCTTAGGCAACTTGGGGACAAATTCACCCAGGGAATAAGTGGGTTCGATTATAATGGTAGCCACAGTTGAATTGACCCTCTATATTTGAGTATATGTTTACCTGAAGAAACCCTTGTCAAAGGTCAGGGTCTGGTGCCAGAAATGACAGCACATGCCATCAGAATTTGACCACTGAAAACAGTCTCCCTAAAGGGATGGTCCCCCAATTTCTACTATAAAAATCAAGTTATTAAAAGCTACCAACCAAGCTTACATACACCTGGGGAAGTGTAAGCCTACTGACCCCATATTTCCTTGTTTGCATTGAAAAAAAGATTGTCTATGGCAAAATTAACTTCAGCTGACATTCTGCCTCCCTAAATGCATTCAAAGTTGGATATTGACCTCCACATGGTCCCAGACCGTTGTCTATGCTTTCTCTGGGTTATTCACAAGCTGCATTCCACTGCAGAGGTGGCTGCATTTTAGTGGTGAATGCCATTCTTAGAGTTTGTAGAAGGCTTTAAAACCTTCAGGGTAAAGTGCACAACTGAAAATGATTAAAGGATTGGAAAACATGCCATACAGTGAAAGTCATGAACTCGATCTATTTAGCTTAACACAAAGATGACTTGATCAGAGTCTATATGTATCTACATTAGGAACAGAAAGAATAAGAAAGGGCTCTTTAATCTAGCTGAGAAATATATAAACAAGATCCAATGGCTAGAAGTTGAAGTGGACAAGTTTAAACTAGACATAAGGCGCACATTTTTAATAACGAGGGTAATTAACCATTGGAACAACTTACAAAAGGCTATGGTGGATTTTTTATTACTGGAAATTTTTCAATCAAGATTGGATGTTTTTCCTAGAAGATATGCTCTAGTTCTAACAGAATAAAATTCAGGGAAGTCCTATGGCTTGTGTTATACACATGGTCAGCAACATGATCACAGTGGTCCCTTCTAGGCTTATAGTGTATGCATCTTTCTATCGAGCAGGGGCTGTCTACTACTGTGTCTGTACAGCAGCTAGCACAATGGGGCTGCATTCTTGATTGGCCCTTAGGCACTGCTGTAATAAAAAAAAAAATAATAATATTGGTGTAAAGTTAACAATTCAACATTAGAGGGGTAGCGTGTTTGCTGTTTTTACAGATACAGACTAAGAGTCCTGTGGCACCTTATAGACTAACAGACGTATTGGAGCATGAGCTTTCATGGGTGAATACCCACTTCGTCAGATGCATGTCGCATCATGCATCCGACGAAGTGGGTATTCACCCATGAAAGCTCATGCTCCAATACGTCTGTTAGTCTATAAGGTGCCACAGGACTCTTTGCTAATTCAACATTAAAAATCAAGAATTGACAGAATTACACACAAGGAGGAGGAGGAGGATTCTCCTTGAACAATGAAAGAGGAAAAAAAGCAGCCCCCTTATAGCTTATTTGGGTGGGTTTTTAAAAATTATTTAGATAAGTTTTGGGTTGCTTCAGTTGCTTACGAATCTGATTTTAGAGTTATATAACTGACGTCTTCATGTCAGTGCTCAGATACAGCAAGTACAATTTATGATGACTTGCACAATTTCAGGAACAAAGGAGAGATAAAACAGGCTACAAAATCAAGTCCACATAAGGGCAGGATAAAAAAAAAATGCATCAGATTGGACTGATACTATAAATGTTCTTAAGCAAAAGAGACTAAAACACAGCAATTGCATATTTTTAAAAAAAGTCAAAGTATTTGGTTAGTGGATTAGATTTTTCCACTACACAAAGTAGCTGTATCAGATTATCATCATGTTGTCTTAAAGCACATGCCTCAAGGGTACAGAATTATCCCTTTTAATGTTCATCATGAAAGACCCAAAGAGGCATTAAAATATATTTAAAAAAAAAAAAAATTATGCTGTGGGGGTTCATCCAGGGAATTTGTTATGGCTCTTAAGTGTGTCAATCATAATAGTTTGGCAACCCATTTCCCTGACCATTAGGTAACAAAGTGGATATGAATCACTGAAGATCTGGTTAAAAGCCACAAACCATTTAGGGGCATGCCTGTTCACCCCTTCTGAAATTTTTGCACCATAACACATAGGCTTTTAATTCATTAGCCAACAGTAACTACAATAAGGAATTTATGTAGGATTTTACCTAGTCCCCTCTGGAATGGCTCAATAGTTCAAACATTTTATTTTTTAAAGGAAAAGTGAGAGTTGCCCAGATGGTATGGCAACAGGCGCGACAAAGGATCATGAGGCATTAGTGTTTTAATGAAGGGAAAGTGACACTGTCTGTTCTTAGAGGTTTGTTTTGCATTAAGTCAGACTTCAGGGAAGCACTAACAAGGGAGCGGGAATTGTCATGGACATTTACCAGTGCAGGCACAAAAAAAGTCTACTCACCTGTTCTTTATCACATGAAAAGAGGTACACCTTTACCTCGATATAATGCTACCCGATATAACACAAATTCGGACATAACGCGGTAAAGCAGTGCTCCGGTGGGGACAGGGCTGCGCACTCCGGTGGATCAAAGCAAGTTCGATATAACACGGTTTCACCTATAACATGGTAAGATTTTTTGACTCCCGAGGACAGCATTATATCGAGGTAGAGGTGTACTTTATTCACTCATAAAACGACACCCCCACCAACCCACCCCCCCACGCCAGCGAGCAAAAAAAAAAAAAAAAAAAGTTTTGCAAGGCTGCAACTAGCAGGTAACCTATGGAGGAAAAATCCCCCCCCCCTTTTTATTTTGAAAGCTCAAAATAGAATCTAGCAGTTTGGGGTTCACATAGCAGCAAACCATCAACTGTCACATTCTCAGCTGCCTTACGGAATATGCTATCACAGCTAACTCATCCTGACAGAGAAGGAATATCTGTCCTTTGGTTAAATAGCCTTGAATAAATGTGTGTAACGCTACCAGAAAACATTAACTGGAGATCAGCGTGTTTTTTCTGGGCTGTGTGGGTCTTATGAAAGACACCAGCAGAACAACAATATGGCACAAAGCAAGGCAGATTTCATTACTTTGTAGTGCCTGCACTTGCTCATAACTTGGATTTACACACTGCAAATCCTCCAATCTGATTACCTCCAGTGATCATGTAAAATGCTGGCTTTAAACTCTTTGCCTCAGTGATAAAAACAGACACTTTGATTCACAACAACACATTCGCAATAAAGTATACTGTAAAAGTACCTGTCCACAGCCGGGGGCATTGCACACAAACGGCCTGTCGTCTCCCATATTTCATATAGCTGGGCAAAGCTGAGGAGAAAGGAAAGAGGGATGGAAATTGTTAAATAACCTAAAAAATTCAAAATATCAGGAGCAGACTTAATTATATTCTTTTAAAGAGCGTAAGACTGCGGATATGGGGAAGAAGGGGGTTTCTGTGCCCCTAGATTACATGTACAGAAAAAGGAATTCATCCAGTCGGAGTTAAATGCTGAATTAACGTGACCCAGTAATTTTTGCATTTGCAAAGAGGAAATTTTGTCTAATAGTTAAAAGAGGAGCCATGGCAGCCTAGTCTAATGGTCAGGATAAGGGATATGTAGTCAGCACTCCAGGGTTCTTTCACGGCCTGGCCTTTCTGCTTTCTCCATCGTAGGGTATGTCTACACTGCAGCTGGGGCATGGGTAGACAGACATGGTAGCTCTGCTCAAATAAGTGCACTGAAAATAGCAGTGTAGCCAGGGGTAGCACAGGCTGTCACTCGGGCTAGCCACCTGATTACAAACCTGCCTGGACCCCCTGGATATCTCGAGCTGCCTCCCCGTGCTACTGCTACCCACACTGGGAAGAACTCTCCCAACTGCAGTGTAAACATACCCTCAGTATCCACCCCAAACCCCCATCTGTAAATGGCGACTGTACCTACATGTCTCACAGTAGGACTGTGAGAAATAATAAACATCTGCAAAATACTCCTGTATCCTCAGATGGAAGGTACTAGAGAAAAGCAAAGTATTAATCCAACTGTTTATTTTCTTCATTGATTTTTAATATAGTATACAAAGCATGTACACACACACACACACACACACACACACACACACACACACACGTTCTACAGAAAAACGCGCTACCCAGGAGCGGTTAGATAAATCGAGTCTGCTCTGCATACAAGTTATATTTTCAATGGGAGAGAACTAAAATTTGTCATTTAATTAATTAAGGGATTATAGGAGTGGTGCTCCATTTTACAAGGCAATAATCTGGCTCCCTAGTGGGTAAACTACATGGCTGATGGCAAGGGTAGTTTATCACAGATTATAGCCAAGGATAACAAAGCACTCTGTCCTATTATGCTACAAGTGAAGCTATTCTTATTAATAAAAAATAAGAGTAAATAAAGTAACCCCCACCACCTCAAATTCTAGAAATAATGGTTCCATCCACCCACTGATATTTTTATAGCTGGATTTTAAAAAGCTATAATAAAGAAAATGTTATCTCTTCAGGGGGTTTACTGTGTGAACGTGTTCTGACTGTTCATTTTGCTTCCAGTCTCTCTCTCTCCCCGAGTTACGCTCTTGGCTGCAGAAAGCCGACATGCATCGCTGGAGCCAAGAACAGAAATGGAACCAGAATGCAGCCAAAATTAGTTCATAAAAAAAAAGTACACACTTTTTGTTTAGATTTTAAAATTTCTAACCATGTAAAAACACCTCAGTAGTACTGAGAGGGTGGAGAGAGTTATTTTTAGGAACTATATGGAAAGTACTCTAGTGGTGCAGCAAAACAAGCCTTGGGGGGTATGTGGGAGAAGTTTGCATTTTAATGGGGGCTAAAGATGGCTTAGGGGTGTAAAGTAATAGCATATCTGAAAGGACTGATGAGATGTGGAGCTTTTCCCTCCCTAGAGTGCTTGATCAAATCTCGCCCAAGTTGGTCCTGGCTAAAAACTGTTCCGTTTAGCAGCCTGTGTGAAATGAGTGGATTGCAATTCTGTTCTTTCTAAAGCGTATCTACAAAGTCTGCTATCACAATTTGGACTACGTTTAGATTTATTAAGCAAATGAACTCTAGGCGCTATATAAACATAAAAAACAATGGGTAAATAGCCTCCAAACAAAAATATAATGGACTGGCAACAAGGGTGCTTCATAATTTGCACATAAAATGAGGTTAACCACAAATATTAGCTCCCCCACACACACCTTCCAGAAAACTCAGGAAGTTAAATGGGCCTTGCAGAGTGCACTGAAGGTTAGTTAATAAGCTTAAAAGATCCTAGAGGAAGCAGATTGGCTTGGGATTTTGTTTGTGGTTGGGGAAGGAGAACAGTTCCAATGGCAATGGTCCCTCACAGAAAATGACTGCTAGCAAGCAGTCCCTCCTTCAGAAACCACAGGATTGTCAGCTCAGAGACTTCTCCTGATCAGAAAAACCCCATAAGAGACTCAGCTGGGAAGCAAACTGCTTAAGACTTTATAAATCAACAACAACCACCACCACCAACATTATCTTAAATTGTACCTGTAAATTAATATAGATCCTGGAGCACCATCATAGCACAAAGCAGGAGTTCTCTCATGGATCTGAAGATTATGGCCTAGAGAGCTCCTGACAGTGATCTAATCTCGAGTGGCAAAGGCATGGCAGATAACAGCAAGAGGAGTATCTAAAATATGTCAGAAGCCTCAACAAGCACAGATGGGGGAAGGGGGGAGAAAGAGAACAAACCAGTCTCGGCCACATCTGTCTAAGATTCCAACTCAGACCCCAAATTGTTAACTTGAGAAACCAAAAGGTGAGTGCACTCCCTCTAATCAAGGGGGCTGATCTCCACCACTTTGAGTTTCTAACCAGAGTCTACAAACATCACCACAATCTTCTCCAGACTGATCTTCAGCCAGCTAGCCCTCATTCTAGACCTAATCTCATTCAGGCATTGGGTAAAATCACTCACATGCATCAGATGACACCACAAAATGGAGATATAGATGTGGGTGTTATCAACAGGGGTGTTAACAACATATTGAAAGCAGGATAAGTCCATGCTTCTTCAATAACTAAGATGTATACAAAGCCTTCAAACAGGAGGAATGACAAGGTCAAATGACGCAGTAACGTGCATGTCTGCCCCATGCTCATTCACTCAGAACAACTCTCTGAAATCTAGAAAGAAAGGAGCAAAGCGACCAGACAAACTCCATTAGCCCCAGCTAAGGACCAGAACCATCTCCCCAGAACCTTATGGTCAGCTGTATCAAAGGAAGCAGATGGATCTAAAAAAAGCCAACATGGTCAATTTATCTTTGATTTCTTCCTTTAGATGGATAATGCAACTGATGCGGTTTCTGTACCATAACCAGATCAGAAATCTAACTGGAGTGAAGGAAAAGTTAAGACTCCCTCCAAATCCTGCTAGAATTGCTTTGTCACCACCTTTCCCAGAAGAAGGTAAATTTTGAAACACGATGGTAATTTGGAAGGACTAACAGCATCAAGAGATGGTGTACTAAGACAAGACCTAACAATTGCCTATTCAAAGGAAGCTGGTACTCTGTTCTCCCAAAAGGATGTGATGGTATTCACCAAGCATAGTCCCAGTATATCCAGCTGTTTTTTACCAACCAGGAAAGACATAGGTCCAACATGCAGTCCAAAGACTCCTCAGTACCTCCAGACATCAGGTCAGCAACCATTTTAGTGCTGTCTATGGACTCAACCCAAAACTGCACATCAGGTATTCCAGATTTCTAATCCCTGGTTAGACAATAACTTGTGTGGTCTTTGACAAGTTGATTCCCATCTTCATGCTTCAATTTCTCCATTTGTAAAAGGAGACACTCTGTGAAGCAAGGGATGGTTAACGATTAATGTTTAAACATCACTTTGAAGATGTAAACTGCTATGATTGTCAAGTCTTCAAGCTGTTAATCTCAGCACCAAGGACTGTATGCCTATGGAGACTATGCTCCCCTCTCTGAGAGCCAGGGGTTAGGTACACTGGTGAGGCTGCGTATGAGGGGAGATTGCATTGTCAAGACACCATGGGGAGTGAAGTCCTCTGTCAGTCCAGTGGTGAATTTCATCAGCAATTTTAAAACAGCAGGTTTTGGAGCTATTAAACCATTGAAGAAAGAGCAATCATGTTGTGATAACAGGAGAATGGCAGACAAGGAATGAATGAAACGGTGGCATTAGTTATCTTTTAAAGTTTTGCAAAAATCCACCTTAAAAAAAGGTGAAGTTACTGAATGGTGAAAGGGTGAAGACTTATGAAGTTAAAACTTCAACACAGTTTGGGGGTTTAAATGGAGCTGCATGGTGTACTTAGCTAGGAGAAGTGATTTTTCTAATAAAAAGTCTATTAAATTTGCAGGATAATAAGAAGGGCTGCTCTAATTTACAAGGCAAAAATCCTTACTTTTCCTTAATTAATGTAATGTCAGACATCTGTCACTTAAACAGCTTGTTTCCTCCACCAATACTTAAGATTTTGGGACTCTCTTCATTTGGTATTTATGCTTCCAGTTCACATAAAAGCGGTTTGTGACATTAAAAAAAAAAAAAAGAATCAGCAGACACTCTTGTGGCTTTGATAAAACTAATCAAAACTGAGGAAAAAACAACCACCATATTTCAGGTTTCCCCCCCAGACACTTCTGACAGTGTAACAAGCAGCTCTGTTTAAAAATTTGAAGACTTGTGCACTATGAGAATTGCAGTTAACGGATCTTGCAAGATATTAGGAGAATTCATTTTGTCCCTCAAAAACTATTAACTGCTCACTCACTAAGAACAATAACCTGCATGTTAATACATGTACAGAGATTTATATCACATTTAGTCAGGATAAATTGCTTCAATAAACTCTATTCTTAAGAAAAAGACAGAATAAGCAGATGACTGGATACTGGGAGAACAGCATTTTTATTCCTTTTTCCACAGCCCCAGGACCATATTTTGCTGTTTTGATTATTTTTAGCATGTTTGAAAACACAACGTAAAGCAAAGAATTAGATTACTGAATCATTCTTTAAAATTCTGTCAGTGCACTTCTGAAGAGCATCTGCCACCTCATGGAAAGTTTTGGGAAAAAACAAAAATAAAAAAGACATTCTACTGAGGGCATGGCTACACTTGTGAGTTAGAGCACATTAAAGCAGCCCAGTGCACTCTAACTCACAACCCGCCTACACTGGCGGGGCACGTAGAGCGCTCTGACTCCGTGGCTAGTGCGCCCCGGTACTCCACCTCAGTGAGTAGAATAATGTTTGATGCGCCCCTGCTGGAGCGCCGCAGCCTGTTA